TTTTTTTTACGCTCACAGTCGTTTCTCGTTTTTTTTTTTTTTTTTTTTATTTTGCGCTCCCTTTGTGCTCGTCATCTACTTCCTGAGGCAGCTCGCAAAGGCTGGAATTTTTCACGAGCCGACCCGTCGTCCGTGTAGTAATTGCAGAACGAGACGGGTTGCGTTCATCCACTCCCTCCATCCGGTTTTTCATTTGGCTCCTTTTAACGTCGACCTTAAAATAAACTTTGCAGCCCTGCGTGCCATCTTTCCGTGTCGCACTTTTCTTGTCTCTGCGTCGAAATGTCGGAAACTCTCAGCAAGAGACGACTTTGGCGCCGACGATAAAGCATACACGTTAACGAAGCGGCAAAAGATTAGCGAAGGCTAAGCGGTTATTTCCACATTTTGCGCATTAAATCATAATAATCATTACGATGTTAAATTGAGTTAAAAGAAATTATATGTCGTGGAAAAACTACTATACAACATTGTAGTCTATATATAGCGTCAGAAAATGTGTCGGGCAGTTGAACAAGATAAGGCCACGGTATCTCTAGCGGCAATTCACGTAAAAAATAGGTACTTCCATCGTTCGGTGAAACCGTTTCTGCGATAACGTCGTCGTCCCTCTCTACTTTATCACCGTAGAATTCCATAATATTTCTCCAAAAAGGAAATCTCCTCCTTTTCGCAGGTCGCAGCGCGAGCTCGGGACCGATGTCACGATCGACGATGACCGTAGGAGCGTGTGAGGTCGTAACGAGATGGCGAGGATGAGCGATCCCAGCTCCCCGAGCGTCGGTATCGAGTCGATCCCTCGCAGGAAGAACGCGATAACCCGAGGAGGGAAGAAGCATAAGCGCGGGCCGCCAGATGTATTGAGCCTCCTTCGGCAGGAAGCAGAAGAAGTCGGCGGGCAGAAGGAAGGGACGTCGTTGTAAGATCGAGGAGCGGCAACGGCGAATCACGAAGGACGATGGACGAGATACGCGGCTCGTCGTCGGCTCGCCGCCTCTCGCAGATTCTCGACCCGATCACACGGCTCGCCAGCGACTTCGGCTCGAACTCGGCGCCGTGCAGCCCGCGGCTGGGCGCGCGCGTGCAAGACGCGAGCGGCGGACCCGCCGCCGCCGCCGCCACTGCCGCTGCCGCTGCCGCCGGTCAGTCGGGCCCAACCGCCGCAGCTACGGCCATCGGTGTTCCATCTTCCTCTCGAGCGGGTCCGAGCGGCGCCGGGACCGCCGGCGGTTCCAGCTCCAGCGGGCCCGACAGCCCGCGATTGTGGCCACGACAGTTCCGGCAGGCCCCGACGCCACCGCCACGGCCTAGGCACGCCGGCATTACCGTCACCACCGCCGTCAACACCGCCAGCAGTGTCTCCACCAGCAGTGTCTCCGCGAACGTCAATAATAATAACAACAACAACAATGTGGACGCCGACGGCGGCGCGCCACCGCCGGTGGTGCACGCGAGGGACTCGCCCTACGTCAACGTGCCGAATCTGTTCTTCCACAAGGATAAGAGCTTCGCCGAGAGTGCCAGGAGCGCCGGCTACATCGAGCTTCGCGAGAAGCCCAAGTGCAGCCCGTATGACTTTACGTCCGAATCGAGCGGTCACGTGGAATATGCGGATAAGAGAACGTTCGTCACACCGGTTCAGTCCGATCTGGCCTATGACATCGGAAAAGAGCCTCTCTGTAGGGGAAGGTCGAATTACGACCCGGGCCCCTCCAGTGGTAGGGGTCACTTCGACAGAGCGTTCTCGTTCTCCGGCAGGCAACCGGAACAATTAGCCCCGCGGATATACGAATCGGGCAGATTGTTCGTCGATCCGAGGACCACCGGTGGCAACGTCGACATGAAGAGGGAGAAATTGGACGTCCGGCCCACTTACGGCACCTCCAAGAGTTTCGACGGATATACAACGACAGTGGAGGAGCTCAATTGGCAGGAGAGGTGTCTAGAGCTGCAGCTGGAGCTGCACAGAAGCAGGAGTCAGGCGACCAGAGTGAGAGATATGCTCCGAGAAAAGGTGAGTTCATTGTTTTCATGAGAATTGACTTTTTAATTGCGCGTAAAAAAAATGACACTTTTGAAATTACTAACAAATAGGATGCAATTATATTAATAAATATATTAACATTTCCCGGAGTTTAAGTTGGGAATCGTAATACAGAAGTATCAAGGCTGCAATGGCTTTTCAAATAATAAATGATTAAAGTTATGTACGCGCAACTAAAAAAATTAACTAAGAAGTTAATTGTTAATCTAATCTACAGTGTCTAAATAGTGTCAAAATGAGAATGAAGTGATAAAATAATTAACGATAGATCCAACGAGAAGGCGCGATAAGATATTACGTACATTTATCTTATTTAATCGGATTATGCGATCCATTCGTGGTCAAGGGTCGATAGATTAACGAATATGTCGTTCGGAATTTTTATCCGAACACGCGTGACGTATGTTAAACAAATTACGTCAGGCCTATGGCATGCGGCAGGGAGAGCCGAAATATATATCCCATAGTCCGTATTAGTATGCAGGATCACGCGCCCTGATTTAACGCCATCACCTTAGATAAGGCACATAGACGCATCGCGACCGTTGTTCGGCGTTCGCGACTTGTTCCCTGTCTCTTCAAAATGTACCATATCGATCATTTAGCGAAACAAGCTCCCGCGGACGACAGTTAATACGACTGCTGTATGTTTTGAGAAAATACATTCCATCCTGCGTTCTCGTACGCTTCTCCACGTGAGACTCGACGCAGACGAGTTTGAAGAATTTTTCGCAACTTTACATTTCAGAAATTTAATAGAACTCTTCAGAAATTTAATTTGTATTGGCACACGACTCAGGCAAGGGAAGAGGAAATTTTCAAAGACGAAAAGAATAAATTGCCTTACTTTGGAGTCGGAGAGAAAGCTTTGTTCTCGGCTTCTGTTTGATTCCCCGGACGGTGTGTTCAGGTTTGTTCGTCCATTCGTTAGGCGTATATACGCGACTTAACGCAAACAAACTGCCCCGCGAGAGAGAGAGAGAGAGAGAGACGGTGAGACATACGTCGGATCGCGGAATGGACGTGTATAGAGCATACGTTGACGAGGATTCAACGTCAGACCGGAAATTATACGTCCGCCTCAGCGGACACGCCGTAATATCGCCGACGGTATTTTTTTCTTTTTTTTTTTACGAACTTTTTCACAATACATACCGCCCGCCCTCATTCGCTTGCCCACCGCCGTTACAACGGTCGTTTTTATTTCTCACCGGTAGCAAAGCAGGGTCGAAGGCTAAACGACGAGTCGTATCGCGGATGCATATCCGTATCGTAACGCGCGAATGGTCCAGATGATATTATTCTTTTCCGCACATTTTTTTATAGTTGCGACACGCGCGGAGCAGATTTTACGGACAAAAGCTCGCGGTTTTCTATTACTTCTGGAGCTTGACAACGTGATGTATCGACAAAGGGGATAGTTCGCTATTCGATTGAATTTTTCAAGTCCTCTTTTTCTACGTCACTTTTATTTTGCAAAATGTCCGAATAAAAATATATAATATTAATATGTAAAATTCGAAATAATTCTAGCAAATCTAGTAAATCTATATGTAAATTTAGATAATTCTAAATACTCTTCTTCAGCAACTTTCTAAAAAAAAGTCAGTTATGCCAGAATTTTAACTGGAATATTTTAAAAACGTCGGAAAATTGATTTTTATTTATTTTTATATTACCCAGCCGGCGTATTCGATCTCGCCGTGTTTCCTCTTGCGTGTATCCTTTTGCTGAAAGCGGATGCTCTTTATATTATCGAAGCGGGGAGCTGCGTGCCCCAAGCGCGTGCAAAATTCAAGACGAAATCCTTGATGTATCTTGGGGCTATCTTTCGCACGGAAGGGATCTCAAACGGATTTACGAGTCAGGCAATAAGTTTTCCTACCCTCACGTGCGATAATCTCGTTTTGAATAGTAAACATTTCTGCAATGCAAAGCGGATTTAAAATACAATTATTTGCGTATCGACGTAAAACGCTTTTACGTAAAAATATGAAAATCGTTGAAAACTCACGATTGCACGAGTAAAAATGTAAAGCTTGGATTATAAGCAGATTTTTACCAGAATTTCAAATTTGAAGATAAATTTAAAGATATTCCGGAGAGATTTAGAAACATTGAGGAAAAAACTGACGTTCCTCTTTTTTTTTTTTGTTTGATTTAAAATCCATTCTAGCATTCTGTCACTGTTCTGATAAAAGTAGGAATATATCGGACGGATATCTGCTGAGTAAACTCATTAAAATTACACATGCCTGAGTTTGTTTAATACATGAGTTTATCTTCTTTGTTGAATGTTTGCAACATGTTGCTTATCATTTATCGTTTTCCGATGTGCACGTGGCTTAATGTGACATGCGCGAGGACACGCATATTAATATCGTACAGTTGAATGGAGAAAGGAGAGTGTATTAGAATCAATTGTAGATTATAAATAACGGCCGTAACTGGACTGACCGTGACGTCTCGTTATCTAACGTACAATGCGGTACATCGGCAGGGGAGGGATATTGTCCGAGCCGTGCACATTACTCTATTCAATTCCATTTTCGAGCGACGTGTACTAACAGCTATTAAGCGTCCCCGATGTACAGCATGTCCCAGATCTAGCGGTCTACTCATTCATTCATTCGTACTCTTGAAGTCGATATTTTATCGGCGAAGATACCAAGCAAATACACTCCAGTAAGTTTCCAATTTTCAGCATTAATTATCAATTGCAATTAACTTCAAATCTCAAGTTTAACAAGAGCGTTTTTAGCTTTTGAGAAATCTCCAGTAATACGAATAAGAAACAAAATTCTTGAAGTCGATATTTCATCAGCGAGGATACCAAGCAAATACCATTCCAGTAAGTTTCCAGCAGTTTTCAGCAGTTTAATTATCAATTGCAATTAATTTCAAATTTTTAATTTAACAAGCGTTTTTGAAGTTTAGCTTTTGAGAAATGTACAGTAACAGATAAAAAAAACAGATGAAATTTTTTTTTGGAATGAACGTCCATTCTACATATCTATTTATCCAAAAATGTGTAGAAAGTATAATCTGTTAGATCCGGGACACCCTGTACATACGTAGCTCATATTAATATTGATTCTTCGCGTGGCATTAATGGAAGTCCTCACGCCAATAGACATACGAGTCTTCGTACGCCGATACGGATTTCAAAGGATGTCCATCAATGTCACAAAACTCGAAACATTTTTTTCTTTCACACTTATTCATAGCATAAAAACATAACGAAGTATACTACCGAGCGAAATCTCGTTTATTTTGATCCTTAAATAAAGAAGAGAAACCCCGCATTAAAGATAAAGTAACGGCATTAATAATTACGTAACATAAAATAAACCATAAAAAAATTGGTTTACCTGGTTGTTGCTTTTTTAGATAAAAAGCGATACGTTGAAAAATCTTTCCATTTTGTATCTTGTAAATTAAAATACGTTCCAACGTATTGGGAAGCATGCTTTTCCAATATTCCTCGTATAAGCGGAACAATAATAATAAAACATCAACGAAATTAAAATACGGTGGAAGAATTGCTCTGTGATAATTTCATTATTCTCTCCGATGGAAACGCGTTTAATATTGGCAATCGGTTTACAATTAAACCGATCAAAAATTTATATTACGTAACATCAGTTTTCTCTTTTTTAATCGATTGACTTCACGCTAATGAATTTTCACGCTAATGAAGCTAACGAAGCTTAGTTCTTTTTTCCGAAAAATCTTATACCGCCAGTGTTATACATTGCAAAAGGGCTCTATCTTCCTTCTCCTCCTCCTTCTTCTTCTTCTTTTATAGACACATGTGCCTTTGGGGACAGAGCACCACTTTTTCTTCTTTCTCTGCTAGTTTTGTTTTTTTTTTTTTTTTTTTTTTTTTTTTTAATAAATTCCGCCTCCTCTCTACGGAGGAAAAATCCTCCGCGTCTCGTTTCCGGGACATAGTACTACTTTTTTAAAAATTCTCTATATCAGGGAATACTTTCGAAAATTGACGGAAACGACCGTCTCTAGCGTAGCCGAGAAAAATGTGTGATAGAGGCGAGACAAATAAAGACGGATAGTCGACTCGTCAATGCGAACGGCGAATGCACACGCTCGAATCTCTCGGGACCGATACAAGTCAGACACCGGTTAACATTGCCGTGTGTGCGTGAAATATCTGCCATTATCTTGATTTGTTTCTGCGTCTATCTTGAGTGTGGGTACGCCATATTTCGAGCGGTTAATTCGTTAAACGCGTTGCGCCTATGGTCTTTAATTTTTTTATCCTGGATGGATTATTGATGGACTATCGATGGCCTTCGCGGTATTGTCACGGTATCGACGAACTGAACTAGAACCTGCAATTCGTCATGCTGCTTTCGATCATGAAAAATGTGTAACAGTGACATATTTAACACAAGGGCGAACGTCTCCTCAAATATCATCTTTGGTATTCGTGGGACAAAGTTCAGTACGGATTTGAAATCAGTTCACAATTTGGAAAATCAGTACTGCACTCAATCAGTTCGTTGGTTACTTCTGATTCTGGGTTAGCCTCCCAATCAACGTGATTCTACGGAAAATAAGATACATTTACGGAAACTCAATCTGATTTATATATCGTGATATTCTTCCCTTTCTACTTTTCGTCATCGGTCTGTGTAAATAATTCGATATTCTGCAGAATAGATTTTATGTTACTAAAAAAAGAAAAAAAAGATAAATTCACTTTCAATTTTACATACTTTAAATTTCTAAATGATATTAGGAGATAGTTTTAGTTGTTGTAATATCCTTTATAGTTTACATTGATAGGTATTCCGTAACAGAGATATACAGAGACTCAAGCGTTGCGCGTTACATACCTAAATGTGTGTTTGTGTGCACGTTTGATAAAATAGGTAGAGACGGAGCGAGACAGGGAATTACAATCTGCAAAGTTCTCGTAGTAACGGACGTCTGTGTCGGATAGTGCA